AAAAAAAAAAAAAAGATCTGACCAGAACAATTGTAGAGGAGAAAAGTTTATTTGAGGGCTCACAGTTTCAGAGTCTTAGTCCATAGAAGGCTGGCTCCATTCCTTGGGGCTTAAGGTGAGGCAGAACATCATGGCGGGAGAGTGTGGCGTAGGGAAGGAGCTCACATGATGGTCAAGAAGCAGAGAGAGACCCTGGTAGACCCAGTCTAATTTTCTCTTAAAATTGGGAGCCATCTCGCCACAAAGTCATGAAAAGATAATTTCAGTTTTACTATAAATTACTACAAATTCTGAACTAGCTTAGAATGCCTGCCTGTGCCTTGAACTCGCCCATGCCTGGCTGTCTGACCAGATAGCAGCCCTCTCTGAAATTTTAGTGACACCTCATAAATCTTGGCCTTCCCTGGCCAGACAACGACCCTCTCTGAGGCTCTAATGACCTTCATAAATTCTGATGTCAGTGCCAGCAAAAATGTAAACTAGCCTTTGTGTTATGCTCCTCAGAGTTCTGTTATCTGTAACCCCCCTTTGTGTAACTTCCTGGGCTATAAAGCTGGGCTACAAGAAAGCCGCAGGGCTGTCTTGTTCCCACAGTTTTTGGTGGGAGAGGCAGCCTGGCCAGTCGAAATAATAAGCTTGCTTTAATTTGATTTTAATTGGAATCAGTGGTCTTTTCTTTGTGTCCTGGTCTAACAACCCCACTCTTCAGATACAAAATATGTACCCTAAAGCTACACTCCCAATGAACCATTTCCTCCAGCCATACCCCACCTGCCTCTAGTTACCATTCAGTTAATCCCATCAGGGGTTAATTCACTGATAAGGTTAAGGCTATAACTCAATCACAATTTCTCCAAATTTTCTTGCATTGTCTCACACATGAGTTTTTAGAGGATACCAAATATCTAAATCATAACAGTTGTCTTATAAAATGTCTTTGAAATTACAATTCTCTACTAATATTCCCATATATTCTTCCCTCCTATCTGCCTATATAAACTTCTTACCCAGCATAGTGGATCAAACCAACTAACCTAGCAGAGTCAAAGAGCCAGAAACTTCTGATCTCAGCCAATGAATCATCATGTGAGCATGTTACTTCTCTTTGCTTCCTCATTTATGTTTTCTCAGTTACAAAATCAGTAACTTGCATGTGGATTACACTGACCCACATCTCAGAATGTCATGAGTGAATACTGAAAACATAGAAAACTTGCAATGATCCACTTTTCAAATAACCCAAATATTCCAAAGAAATTGGTAAGATTTGTGCCTCATGACAACAAGAGGCAGGGATGTTGAGTGGAATGTAGGATCAATATCATGACAAAGGTAGAAAAAAGAACCTAGTCTGCTTTTCCAACTGCACATCTGCTGTCATCGAATTGCACCCCCTGAACAGCTTGGTAATTACATATGAATTTTTTCATTGGTACACTGTCATTGTAGGACATGAACCTGATTCAGAATGCAAAATTAGCTATGCATAACTTTAAAGTTGCTTAAGAAATAGGTTGATGTAAATCTGATATACACTACAAAACAAGCCATTTTTATTTATTGCTAAGGGTTTTCTCAACAGATATTTATTGGATGCTTACAAAGTGCCAAGCAGGGTGCCATGCAGGGACTGTGGCTAGCACAGTAGACAAGACAATCCTTAACTTTGCCTTCAAGGAGTTTATAACCCAGTAGATGAGGTCAATGCTGAGCAAAATCACAGTACTAACAAATTGGTAGGTTCTCAAAAGCTCAGTATGCTATGAGAAAGTATTATGGGGGGGCTCCAGCTGCCTGAAGACTCAGGGAGAGCTTCCTTGAGGAAATTACATTTCAGCAGATAGGCTACTGTCATCCAGGGTGTGTAACTACATTCACATCTCAGCTCTGACACTTGGACAAGTTGCTGTCTCAGAGCTTGAGGCCTCATGTGTAAAATGAGAAAAAAAATGTGCTTGTAGCAAGGTTGTGAGAATGAGAGGTACAACAGGTAAAGCACCTCTCCCACAATCAGGCAAATAGTAAGCACTAAGTGCTTGTTGCTTGCTATAATTATATATCAACATAAACATCAAAGGAAAACTAAAGAAAGTTTGGATAAAATCGAAAGATATATGCATAGAGGGGAAATTTGGCATAGTCTCCAAATCCAAGGGGTAGTCAGTACATCACAATTATATGGGGGCTTCTTTCCTCCGTTTCAGATCTCTGAGCCAATAATAATAATAAGAAGAAATTATAATTATACTACTAATAATAAATAATCATAATTACTATTATTAGTAGTAGTAGTATTTAGTGGATCTCTAAGACTTCACTAAATACTATTTACCTAAGTTGATAAAGAATTGTTGAGAGTTGATCTCTTTCTGGGTACAGTTTAGCCAAAGCAAACTTGGTCAGGTTTTTCAAGCAAAACTTAAGATACCTGAGAAATAGCTTCCTGGCCCGAGAACACAGGGTTAATCCTATTTGGTAAGCTCAAGTGACAAGCCTGTGTTTAAACCAAATGGGAGGGAAAATGACGAATGCTCAACTGAAGGTTCGTTCAGAAGAAGTAGCGCCATCTGGATGGGACCTGGAAGAGGGAAACGACCCTGTTTCCCCTACAGGGCGCAGAATATTGTCCCTAAGGGAGCTCAGCTCCAGATGCTCAGCACTCCTTCCCGGGCGCTCCCTCCTAGCCATCTAGGCGCTTGGATCCTAGCCATCTGCGCACCCTTCAGGATGAGTGTGGGTGATTTCGTAAGTGGACGTGACCGCCACCGAGGGGAGAGCCTGCAAGGAAATGGGAGTGACCGGGGAAGGCAGGGCGGAGAGAAGAGGGAGCAGTGGGAGGGATGCAGGGGAGGAGTGGGAGGGATGTAGGGCGCAGTGGGAGGGGGGAGGGCGTGAGACGGTGGAGAAAAGAAGAAAAGGGTGCGGTGGCCAGGCGGGAGGAAGTGGGCGAGCTGTCGACTCTCGCTGCGCAGCCGCTTGCGGGTGGAGCACCCAGGTGAGCCCGAGATGCCGCTGCGCTCCGAGCAGGGGCTGCTCCTGCTGCTCCTGGGGCCGCTCGGTCCTCTCTCCCAGGGCGCCCTGGCGGGACCCTGGCAGGCCAAGGACATTGTGGAGCTGGACTTTTCCACTGAGCGGCCACTGCACCTGGTGAGTCCCGCGTTCCTGTCCTTCACCATCGACGCCAACCTGGCCACCGACCCGCGGTTCCTCACCTTCCTGGGGTAAGCGCCAGCCTCCTGGTCCTGTCCCCTCTCCTGGCCTCCCGACACACCCGCCAGTCGGGCCAGCCACTCTCCTCTCTTCTGCGGTGAAGCAACTTTACATTTGGTCTTGAGAACACCCTCCCCCACGACACACACACACACCCTCTTCAGCCGGTTGCAGACAGCTTTCGCATTTTTACTTCATTCATTCAGCACGTGTTGGCTGAACGCCAACCAAGCACAAGTATTATGGAAAATTTTGGAAAAGAAACTACCCACCTGCCTTAGCACCCCCGCTAGCTGGAGGGGACAGAGACAAGTGACCCTGGAGGGCTGTTTGAATTTTCTGTGCAGTATACAAAAAATAAATAAATAAATAATAAGCTCATGGATCAGGTTTTGTGGTCCTTTAAAAACTGTTAGGACGATTTTGTTTTTAAAAAATAAATTTTAAAAAAATCAGACGGAAAAGACCTCAAAGGAGAAGAATATGTGTTACTTATTTCTTTTAAAAATTTAAATGTTAGATAAGTGAGTCCTCAGAGACTACTGCAGCGACTCAGAGCCCTAATAAAAGGATGTCTCTCCAAAATGAAACTGCAAAATGTGGTGCTGCTTTAACAGTTGTGAATGGTTTGTTTGTTTATTTCCTCCTCACCTGTGGAAATACACCTGTTGCAGGTTTACTGCTTTTGCCTCAGTCTGATCACAAGATGAACAGCTACAAGGACAGTCCTAGGTCATCTAGGCCATAGGAGCTTCCAGAGATGACCACATCTTGACCAGTCCATCATCTCACCATTGTCAAAGGCCTAGATTTGCCCTTCCTGAGCCCACACTGTTAGGCCATTGCTAATTTCACAGGTGGTCTAGTTAGTGGTTAAAAGATTGACAGGCAGAACACCTTGTCTTGACTCCCAACTGTGTAAAACAAGGAGACTCGGTTTTTATGGGCAGCTTGGCCACTCCAAGTCTTTGCTTCTTTATCTGTAGAATAGATTTTCTCGAGCCTGCCTCATAGAATTATTATGAAAATTTGATAATATGATAAGTAATTGGCACAATGTTTGACTTGGAGTATTTAAGTTCCTTGTTTCTTCCTGGGAAATAGTGTTCGCTTAGCCTATTCAGCAGTTTTCTGTGTCTCTTTTCCCCTTTGTGGGGAGGAGGGGCCCCACTTTTTGCCCTTCCCCTTAAGAATAGAAAGTTGACACCTGGCTGCAGCTGGATGGAGGATGGGAAGAATACTCTGGAGAAATGCTGAACACAGGCCTCTGGATCTGAGGACCCCAAGCCTGACGGGGGGATGGGGGAGCTCACTGAAAACATGATGAAGTAGGTGTCCACTTACTTAAATGTGAGGACTGAAGTCCTCTTCTGCCACAGCTAGCAGATACCACGCTCCCTCTCCAGGAATGGACAGGTGGGGATCCCCTTTGGAGAAACAGGTCCAAAAGAAAAAACTTATGGTATAACTTTTAGGATCCAGGGTCAAACACTCTGCAGGCAAGTTCACCCCAGTGAACTAGCATTTCCACCCCGAACACAGAACTTCCAGGTTACAATTTAGTAAGAGTGATACCTTTACTCTTCTTAACACATCTCTTAGCTTCCCATAGCACTCTTTCTTCCTTCTTACCCCAATCCTTTTTTGTTGGAGGATAATGAAAATCCAAGAAACAACCTAGTTTGGTGTTTTTATGTTTTGTTTTACCTTTTGATTTTGGGATGTGTTTGTGCGTATTTATAAAACAATTCCTCTCCATACAAGCTTCTTTCCAGGTTACTCATCTGCATGCACTGTTCTCAGCTGATTAGTAGAGGCCGGAGCGCCTTCTCCTGAGCTCAATCTTCACTGCTAAATCTCCCCAGGGTGGTTAGCATAGGGCCTGGGGTGGCGGACAGTCATCTCAGAAGGTGACACTAAACTTATTGTCTGTTTACAGTTGTAGAGAAGGGTGAGCTGGTTGTTATTTTATCCCAATTCCTTAAAAGTAAAGATGCATGGGCAAGACTTGCAACAGTTGAACAGCTGAAAACTAAGTAAGGAAGGAGGACAGTACAAAGAGCTGACCCCTCCTGAGCACTGGTCAGTTTCCTAGGCCCTGTTCTAGGCCCTTCCTAATCTGAATTCATTTAGTCTTTGCTGCAGCACTATGAGATGAGTACGATTATCATTCCCATTTCAAGAGTGAAGAATTTCTGATTCGGGGAGATTAAATAATTTGGCCATGGTCCGTCAGATAGCAAATGAAAGCGGAGTTTGAAAGTAGACTTTGATCACAGAGACAACAGTACACAAAAAGAAAGCAAAGCAATTTTTATTTTTTAAAGGAAATGGGACAGAACATGTTAGAAAAAGATTATCCAGAAACAAATTGAGAGATGGAAAAGAAGCACTGACTCAAAGATGCTGGGGAATCAGGACTGAAAAACTTCTAAGCAGAACTAAGTAAATTTCATCAGATGTTGCAGTTCTGGCTTCCCACGATGGCAAACAGGTTCATCTGTGTTCTAATACATAAAACCAAAAAGCTAAAAATAGAAACAATTTAGAATTGAAAAACAGTAGGTGTAATTTCTCCTCCCAGAGGCAATTAATCAACAAACCAGAATATTTCCTCAGCCTGACTTGGCGCAGAACTCCAAAAAGGACCTGGCCCTAGAAATAGTATGTGGAATAGAAATCTCATGTGAGCTTCGTGTTGCAAGGCATTTATGGAATTTTAAATTTTCTAGTAGTCATATTTTAAAAAGTAAGAAGAGGTCTGGGATATAGCTGTGTTGTAAAACACTTGCCTCGCATATGAAATGCCTTGGGTTTGATTCCCCAGTTCCAAAAAAAAAAAAAAAAAAAGGAAAAGACAAAAATAAATGAAGTAAAAAGAAATAGGTGAAATTAATTTTAATAATTATGTTATTAATTTGATTATTTTTAACATCATAACTGTAATTGATATAAAATTATTAATGAGGTATTTGACATTTCTTTTCTCAAACCACATCTTCAAAATCTGCATTTTATATGCTTACAGCACTTCTCAATTTAGACTGCTAACATATGTAAAGTGGCTACTGTATTAGAGAGTGCTTACATTTGAGTCAAGACACATGCAGAAGCATAATTCCCTCATGCAAGATAAAACAATACATAGCTGAGTACTGTGCTTCATAAGAAATCATAAGTATTACAAAACAAAAGTGCTGTGGAATAGGAATAATATTAACATTGCAGGTGTGCTTGCTTGTCATAGTAATCTGTTATTTTTCTTCATCAAAGTTCATCTTTTTTGTTTTTTGCCAGTTTAATAAATATTCATTAATAATAACTTTCAACAATTAGATTTCTGCCAGGCATGGTTGTCCACACCTGTAATTCCAGTGGCTCCAGAGGCTGAGACAGGAGGATTCTGAGTTCAAAGCCACCCTTAGCACCTTAGCAAGGCACTAAGCAACTCAGTGAGACCCTGTTTCTAAACAAAATATTTTAAAAAAGGGCTGGGGATGTGGCTCAATGGTTAAGCACTCCCAGATTAATCGCTGGTATCAAAAAAATGAATCAAAATAAAAACAATTAGATTCCCCCATCATTAACAAAGTTGCTTTTTCATATTTGGAAAAATACTTATCACCATGAAATGCACGTTTTTATAACTGATGTAGAAAGAGCCACAGATCCTCCATGTGCCAATTGCTGGTGGAAATGACTATGGAAAAAGAGACAGATCTAAGAACAATGACAGTTCTGATCCCTGGGAAGCGCTGTCCCCCTGAGTGAGCTCTTAGTGTTCCCCTCCTTCCTGAACCTTTCTACTGTGTTCCTTTGCACAGTGACCCCTTTCTGTCCTCAGAATATTCCCTCCACCCCCTTTCCCAACTAAAAACATGGCACTTCCCTGAAGACATTCTCTTCCCCTGTAACCCTTTAGAATTCAGGTTGCACGTTCTCCCACACTCCAGTCCTTTTCCTGTTCCCCCACACAGCTTCTAGATAACAGCCCACTCGTTTGAACGCAGACTGCTGTAGTTCAAATTCCTTTTGACTTACTCCCTTGGACAAGTTAACTTCATTTCCTCTTGTTCAGGTTCTATATCTACAAAATAAGGATAATAATGGCACTCACCTCATTGGGTTATTTTGAGACTAAGTGAAAAAAAATCTATGCAACATGCTTAAAACACTCAGCTTGAACTAAGCTGACACATAGTAGAGATGATTGTCATGACACCAGTGTGAGGTACTAGTTCTCATGCAATGCTCCTTGTCATTACACTCTGCTCCCCTCTTATTTCTCCTTATTGATTAAAGACTGGCACTGATCTCCCAGCTTCCTCTCTAACATCAAGTCCCGTCATCATCCTGGATGCCTTTAAATCCATCTGAATACACTTCTCCCTTGATTTCTTCACCCTACACATTATTTGATACTCTTCATTCAGTGTGGTAAGCAGCTTGTATCAGCTCACAAAATGAGTTCATTTCTTCTCAACTCTGCATTCAGTGACATCATACTGCTGTCTTGAAATGGTGGGGATTTTTACATCACTGTGATATAAACATCATGGTGGAAACTGCAAACAGTGAAAATCAGGGCACTTTCCTGAGAGCTGGCCTGGCAGCACACACTGTTTCACACCACTTCATCTAGTGAATTCCATGAGCACACCTCAATGCTCTTCATCACTAGTGATCTTCCAACATCCAGAAACTTCAATTCAGATTTCTCAGCTCCATCTCCTCTCAGCCCCTTTATTCTATGGTAAAAGTAAGTAAGTTCCCATCATAATTTTTTTTCTTTTTCTTTCTTTTTTTTTTTTTTTTTTTGAAGTACCTCCACTGAACAATTTCCTCCTCTCTCTACTTCTTCCATATTTGATTTGGGCTTCTTTTTTTAAAATATTTATTTATTTATTTTTAGTTGTAGTTGGATACAATACCTTTATTTTATTTATTTATTTTTATGTGGTGCTGAGGATCGAACCCAGGGTCTTGCAACATGCAAGGCGAGCATTCTACTGCTGAACCACAACCCCAGCCCCTGATTTGGGCTTCTTTTTTACTTTTTTTTTTTTTTTTGTGTGTGTGTGTGTATGTGTACCAGGGACGGAACCCAGGACCTGAATCACAGAATCACATCCCCAGCCCTTTTTGTTTGTTTGTTTTTTATTTGAGGCAGGTTCTCACTAAGTGGCTTAGGGCCTCACTAAGTAACTGGCTCCTGCTTCAGCCTCCCCAGTATCTGGGATTACAGGCATGCACCACAGCACCTGGCATAGTCCTTCTTGATTTATCACCCAAACTCCTCTTGTGATAGTAATCTCAAATCCTGTGCCGTTGTTCTTCCTGATAAAACTCCCAAATCTGACTTGTTCCAACTATATTTTCTCTCTTTGGAATCTACAGTGTGGCCCCTAAATCTGGAAATGGAAAAATATTGCTTAATGTTTGGTGCATATTAATAAACTATCTCTGCTCTTTGTGTCAAAGATATATAACTTATATTTGCACAAAAGCTAAAATAAAAACAACTGCAGACTCTTGGGTTTTCCCCCTAACAAACTGCTCTGGAAACGAAATAGCTGCAGCTGCTTTTATATATTCTTTCATTATTTCCATATCATTGTAGTAGTAGCTATTTTTCCCTTTCCTTTTTTCTACATATGATTGAAATACTGTACCTTTGATCAATTTTGTTTTTATGGAAAAGTTCTGCAGCTGTATTAAATATGTTTTTTGTCAGAAGGCATCAATATTGTATTCTCAAAACATGGAAATATTCCAGTGCAAAGGAGACTTAATACCAAAACTTTGAAACATGTGATTTCCTTTATGTAGCAACAGCCAAAGCATTGGGTTTTAATTTCATTTTGTTCAGAATATAATCTTTGTTTGGCCTCCTTCCTCTTTCATCAGACTAGCCTCCCTTGTTCCTTCACTTACCACATATTTATTAAGTAGCAGCTGTGTGCCAGACATTTGTCTAAGTACTGGAGAGAGTCTGATAAACCAGACAAACAAGGTCCCCTGCTGTCAGGAAGCTTGCATCAGAAGTGAGGCTGGGCTAGATAGGAAACCAAGGAAATACATGAGGCTGATTTGAGAGAGTGGTGAATGCTGTGAAGGAAATAAGGCAGGGAGATGTAGCGAAGAGCTCCCCAAGGTGATATAGTTCGAACCTCTGTGCACCAGCTCTGGCATTTAGGTATCTGACCCAGACTATCTTTCAATGCCTGGGCTCCTTTCCCAGATGCTAGTTTTTCCTTCCATTTCCCAAAGAGGACCAATCTCTTGTCAAATCTCAATTGCTTATAGATATTAGCTACATGAATCTAAATGAGTTTTTCTATCACCAAATAATCACAATACCAAGAGCTAGAGTCAATGCCTAGCTAAAGGCAGTAATGGTGTCAGTCTTGAGTGACTCTCTCAGAGGAGGTTCCTCACATTGGTTTTAAGGCCATATCTTGGAACCTGTGCACTAGGGATTACTAGTCACTGATCTTTATACTCCCCAATCTATATCCCTAGCCTAGATGTGTCGCTTGAATTCCAGACACACTTGGTCAAGGGCTAGATGGAAATAAGATTTTTGGTGTTACTTCATCATCTCAAATTCTACAAAACTAAACCTTCTCTCTTTTTTCTCCTTCATCCTTATCACCAATCTATTACCAATTCTTTATCTCAACAAATGATATTACCATCTTCCAACTCATTTCCCAAGATAAACCCTTGCCTCCTCCTCAACATTGAATTAATAACTAAACTTATGATTTCTATGTATAAATATGTCCTAAATGTATCCACTGCTCTCTATCCCTGAGGCAAGTTACCAAGTTAGAAGTCAGGAAATAAGTCTTTCAAAAGAAAATGAAGTAAAAACATTTGACTAGGTTGTGTTGGAAAAAATAATTATACTTTCTTGCTTGTCTTCATAACAGTTCTCCAAAGCTTCGTACTTTGGCCAGAGGTTTGTCTCCTGCATACTTGAGATTTGGTGGCACCAAGACAGACTTCCTAATTTTTGATCCCAAGAAGGAACCAACCTTTGAAGAAAGAAGTTACTGGCAATCTGAAGTCAACCAGGGTGAAACTTTTAAAAGATTCTATATTTTAATTAACTTGTGTCTATCATGAGAATACTGGGAGAAAAGTGTAATTGCTCACATATTATAAATTCACAAGAGATTAAGGACCCCAACTGATCTATGGAGGTGCCTAAATGACAGGAGCAAGCTATGGACAGGTTTCCTCATCTGATCTTTTCATGACTGTGGAACCTTACAGACAAGGTTTGCTGAGCATAACTGAGAGGGAGTTGTGCTATTAATAGGACAAGGGTTGTAGCCAAAGGACAGGGCTGCTTGGAGGGAGCACATGGGCAAAAAGGTGACAACTGAAGAGGATATTTCCAGCTGAATATATCCACACAGCAATAGATTTTTTTTTTTTTAAATTTACCACATTTATTCTGGAAATAGAATGTGGAAGGAAGATCTAACAAGGGGCATAGAGATACACTTTGCTTCTACAAATGGGTTTCAAAAAACTTGATTTCCTGGGCAATGGTTCTCAACCATTATTGGCTGTTCATATCACTTGCTATGAATCTGAATATTTGGATCTCCGGGCTCCAGCCTTAGAGTCTGAGTTTAGCGAACTAGTTAAGTGATTCTGATATTAGAAGTGTGTGTCTACTGTACATACGGTGCAACGCTACATCATTTACAACCATAGAAATGTAAAGTTGTGCTGCAATTGTGTACAATGAATCAAAATGCATTCTGCTGTCATAAATACCTAATTAAATAAATAAATAAGTTTAAAACAAAAAAAAGTGTGTGGCTTCACCTGAGAAACCTGCCCAATGGAGTGTTGAGGATTGTCCTGGGTCTTTCAGAAGTGCCACTAGATGTCAAATGGAAGTTAAATCGCTGTCTGAGCAATTGATAAATATATCATATACATCAACAAATTATGATAATGTGTATCGAATACCAATATTAATGAGTATTATTTAATTATTTTATGTATTACATATTTTCCTTTTGTTTATTTTCTTCAGCTAGGAAGTAGTTAGAACATTTAATCGGACATTGGACCAAAATTAAGTGAGTGGTAATTAGAAAAAAATAGAAGAAAGGCAGGGGGTTCTCTTTGAATAATGAGTTTTAGAATCCTTTGGATTTGGTCCTTTCCAGCAGTCACATGCCTTCAAAAGCTCTAAACCTTTTTAGGCAGGAAACTGTCCTTTTGTCACCAGTTTTTGTTTTTTTTTATCTTGGGGGGAGGGTTGTCACTGGGATTATCCCAGTTCCTCTGAAACATCCTTTATGAGTGCAGGGACAGAGGAGGCCCAGTTGCCAGCAAGTCACAATGTGCAGGTTCCCAGAAAGGAAGTGGTTGGCCAGTCAAACGCCCTGGCAGCAAGCACCCAGAGGCCCTGCTGCCTTGTGATAAAGAAACACAGGGTCCCCAGCCTAGTAGCAAGGTTTTCCAAGTACATGGGTTGTGGTCCCAGAAGCTTGGATGGTATCAAATGTAGAGGGGGGGAAAGTCAATAATCTCTACCTTCATTTTTTGGTGGGGGGTAGGTGGGTACCAGAGATTGAATTCAGGGGCACTCAACCACTGAACCACATCTCCAGCTCTATTTTGCATTTTATTTAGAGACAGGATCTTACTGAGTTGCCTAGCATGTCGATTTTTCTGAGGCTGGCTTTGAACTCCTGATCCTCCTGCCTCAGCCTCCTGAGCTGCTGGGATTACAGGCATGAACCACCGCGCCTGGCCAGGCCTGTCTTCATTATAGCAAGAAGAAATCACTATGAAGTAGATAGAGGCTGTGTATAATAAATATCTACTATATATTTTAAAGTGAACCTTAACAGAACTGAACTAGGTTTTCTGTTAGGGTCCCCTGGTAATTTCACACTTCTGAGCTACCTTTTGAATTATTTAAATAACTTGAAGCCATATCCAGTATTCTATGACCAGTGTATGTCCAGTGTTTCTTAGGAACATTCTTCTTCGAGGTTTTTGTGTGTGTGTGTGTGGTGGGTGGTAAGCTGGCAAATTTGGCACATATTGTTCTCTGATCTCTTACCCAATAACCTGAAACTTAATTATGCTGCTTTAGTCATGTAATAGCTAACTAAACGTGTGTAGGATTTCAACCTTATTACAACAAACACACATTCTCTAATTCTCTTTTCCACCCACAGATATTTGCAAATCTGGATTGCTCCTTTCTGATGTGGAGAAAAGGTTACAGTTGGAATGGCCCTTCCAGGAACAGCTGCTACTCAGAGAACAATATCAGAAAAAGTTCAAGAGCAGCACCTACTCAAGTAAGGAACAACAGGCTCCTGGCAGGTGTACTGGCCACAAAAGTATTTGGTTAGGTTAAATTTGGGTTTGAGTCTAGTAAGCCCCACAGCAGTTGTGAAAGCTACACAATATTTAAATGCTATCAAGAGTTCATGGGAGGGGCTGGGGCTGGGAGTGTAGCTCGGTGGTGAAGCACACACTTAACGTGTATAAGGCCCCAGTTTCAAGCACCAAAAAGAAAAAAGAAGAGTTAATGGGAAATCTTGAACCCAAAACTTTATTTCTGGCTTTTTCCTTTTTATCTGACTTGCTTACTAGCCACAGAGTGAGGTTTAGAAATCAAAGATTCATGAACTAATAATGAATGACTTTTACTGCTCTCAAGAGCTAGGGAGATAGGCACAGTGCATACTCATGTAATCCCAGTGGCTTGGGAGTCTGAGGCAGGAGGATCACAAGTTCTAAGCCAGCCTCAGCAAAAGTGAGGCGCTAAGCAACTCAGTGAGACTCTGTCTCTAAATAAAATACAAAATAGGGCTGGGGATGTGACTCAGTGGCCAAGTGCCCCTGAGTTCAATCCCCCTACCCCCTCAAAAAAAAAAAAAAAAAAGAACTAAGGAGACAGGAAGACATGGGATATATTCCTCATGTAAAATGTGAAAATCATTCACAACTTGTTCATCTGTTTCCCTTCCCAGAAGTAACTCCTATATGATTGACAATCTCTAATCTGAAAATGCAGACTTCAAACTCCTCCAAAATCCAAAAATTTTTGAATATCAATCAGATTAAGCATTCTCAACTGGTAAAGCCTATGTGAATATTCCAAAATCCAGAAAACTCTAAAATTTGAAACATTTGGTCCCAGGCATTTCAGATAAGGGAGATTCAGTCCATGGGAAGAGGTGATATACATCATTAGGCAGGCAATCCTGGCTTGTACCAGTGTTGGCCACTAAGCTATTTTCTCATCTAAGCAGGAATTTATTTCCATTCATTGAAACACTTCTTTTTAGTCTTCAAAAGAGGACAACATTACCACATAGGACTTTAAAGCAAATGAAACAAGCTATCTTTAACTATGCAATGTATTTTTATCTGAAATTGATGTTTTCTGATGTAACTCTAACTCTCAATTAAGATGATCATGTGCTCAGATACTCTAAACCGTCTTCTTTTGGCTTTTAAAAATATATATTATCATAACTTTATTTGGTTAGTTAGCATTTCTTAAAATCATAGTCATATTTTATTGCCCTCCACAAATGTTAACTTTAAAAAAAAGTGAAGGTTTGTGACAATCCTGCATCAAGCAAGTCTATTGGCATCATTGTTTCAATAGCACATGCTGATTTAATATCTCTGTGTCACATTTTGGTAAACTGGAAATGTTTTAAAGCTTTTATTATTCTTGCTATGGTGATCTGTGATCAGTGATGTTAGTATTTTAATTGTTTTAGGGTGCCATAAACCATACCCATTTAAGATAGCAAAGTTAATTGATAAGTGTTGTGTATATTTTGACTGTTCTGCTGACTTGCTGTTCCCCCATCTCTCTCCCTCAGCTCAGGCCTCCTTATTCTCTGAAACACAACTATGTTTAAATTAGGCCATAATAACTTTACAGAATCCTCTAAATGTTCAAGTGAAAATAAAGCCATGCATCTCCTACTTTAAACCAAAAACTAGAAATGATCTAGCTTAGTGAGAAAGGTCAAAGCTGAGCTAGGCTGAAAGCAGCCAAATTCTGAATGCAATGGAAAACTTACTGTTGTAAATTGAAAGTTCTATTCCAGTGCACACACAAATGATAAGAAAGCTAAACACCTTTATTGCTGATATGAAGAAATGGATAGTTTAGCAGTGTGGGTAGATCAAACCAGCCATAACAGTCCCTTGTGCCAAAGCCTAATCCAGCCTGAACTCTCTTCAGTTTTGAGAAGGCTGAGAGGACTGAGGGAGCTGCAGACAAAAAAAAAATTTGAATCTAGCAGAAATTAATTAATGAGATTCAAGGAAAGAAGCATCTCCATAGCATTAAAGTGCACAATGATCAGTAAATGCTGATAGAAGCTTCAGCAAGTTATCCAGAATATCTGCCTAAGATCATTGATGAAAGTGGCTTTGCTAAACCTCAGGTTTTCATTGTGGACAAAAGAGCCCTCTATACTTAAAGAAAATAGTCATCTAGGACTTTCATAGCTAGAGAGGAAAAGTCAATGGTTGGCTTCAAAACTTCAGAGGAGCGTGGCTCTCTTGAAGGAGAGTGATACAAAAAGTGACTTTAAGGTGAAGCCAAGGCTCATTCACTATTTCACAAAATCCTAGGCCCCTGAAGAATTATACTAAATCTATCTTGCTTATGCTCTATAAGTGAAATAGCTCAACATAAGCGCTTGACCTATTGCTCAAGAAAAAAAGATTTTTCTTACTGAGTGTGATAGTGCACACCTGTAATCCCAGCTATTTGGGGGGCTTAGGCAGGAGAATCACATGTTCAAGGCAAGCCTAGGCAACTTTGCTAGACTCTGTCTTAAAATAAAGCATAAAGAAGGGCTGAGGATGTATCTCAGTAGTATAGCACCTATGGGTTCAATCCCCAGAGCCACAAAAAAAAAAAGATTTCTCCTAAAATATTATGGCTCATTGACAATGCACCTGGTCACTCATAGTGCTATCAAACAACATTGTGTGTCTCAAATAAATTTTTCATGCAAGAAAGAGTCAATTGATGTGACAGACTTCACCTGGTCAAGAGCTGTGATGTGGATGTATACATAATGAGATTAATGTTTTCATGCTTGCTAATATAACATCCATTCAAGATACCATTACGAATATTCATGATTCATGGAAGGAAGTCAAAATAGCAACATAATAAGAGTTTGAAAGAAGTCTATTTCAAACTTCATGGATGACTTTGAGGGGTTCAAGATTTCAGTGGAGGAAGTGACTGACAATGTGGTGAAAAGAATTAGAAGTAGAGTCAGGAAATGTGATGTGATTTCTGTGATCTCATAATAAAACTTCAACAAATAAAGAATTATTTCTTATGAGCAAAAGAAAGTGATTTCTTAAGATGGAATCTTAATCTTACTAAAGATGATGCTGTTAACATTGTGTTGAACAAAGGATTTAGAATATTACATTAACTTGATTAAAAAGGCAGCAGGAGCCAGGTAGGGTGGCTGGTGGCACATACTGGTAACTCCAGCAATTTGGGAGGCTGAGGCAGGAGGATCATAAGTTCAAGATCAGCCTCAGCAACTAATTGAGACCCTTTCTCAAAAATAAAAATATAAAAAGGGGCAGGAATGTAGCTCTGTGGTTGAGAGCTCCTGGGTTTAACTTCTAGTAACACACACATGAAATCAGCAGGGTGAGAGAGGATTGACTTCAATCCTGAAAAAGGGTCCTCCCTGGGTAAAATGCTATCAAACAACATTGTGTGTCTCAGATAAATTTTTTATGTAAAAAGAGTTAATCGATATGGCAGCCTTCATTTTTGTTTTAGTTTAAGGAATTGTCACAACCACCCCAGCTTTCAGCAACCACCGCCCTGACCAGTTAGCAGCCATCAACATCAATGTAAATCCTCCACCTACAAAAAGGACTTGCTGTTGGCTCAGATGGTCATTAGCATTTTTAACAATAAATTATTTTTTAGAATATTTTTAGTTGTAGATGAACATCATACCTCTATTTTATTCTTTTTTTTTTTTTAATGTGGTGCTGAGGATCGAACCCAGTGCCTCACATGTGCTAGGCAAGCACTCTACTACTGAGCTACAACCCCAGCCCCAAATTAAAGCATTTTTAATTAAAGTATGTACATTTTAATGCTATTTCACACTTAATAGACTACAGTATAGCATACACATAACTTCTATATGTACTGGGAGACCCCAAAAATGTGTGTGACTCACTTTATTGTGATATTTGCTTTATTGCAGTAATCCAGAACCAAATGCTCAATATCTTCAAGGTATGCCTGTACCTTACTTAAAATAGATTATTTGTTTGTCAGATTTACTGTGTACTACATTTAAATACACACACACACACACACACACACATCTCAGAAAATAGCTTATGTGCTAATAGCTAGTGTTCTCTAAACATTTTTGTGTGTTCTTAAGAGGAGGGGAAACTACTCTGAAATTTTAATAAGCATGATTTGTTGTTGAATTCAACACAAAGCAGAGCTATCTCGGGTACCATTAAAGGAATAATAAACTACCAGAAATCTACAGTAGTAAGTTCTCTTTTTTGTTGTTGTTGTTTGTTTGTTTAGGGGGAATACTGGGGATTGAATCCAGAGGCACTTGACTACTGAGATACATTCCCAGCCCTTTTTATTTTTTACTTTAAGACAGGGTCTCACTAAGTTGCTTAGGACCTCACTAAGGCTGGTCTTGAACTTGCAATCCTCTTGGTAAGGTATCATTTGTAATAAATCACGATATAAGCCTGCTAGAAGAAGATCCCATGGTATAAGGTAATTTGGATTCCCAATTGCAGGGGAGTCATATTAAACATTTTACTAAAAAAGCTTCCTTCACTCCCATGATCTTGTTCTTATCAAGGTGTTAGGTATCTAACGTCTTTACCTGTCTTGGTACTTGGACCTTTATAGTTCCTATAGCAACTGAATATACTTCCTTTACTAACTATGCAACTGGGTTAGCATAACTCCAGCCATCATGCTGGCAATACTAAAATGGATAACTAATACAGATATTCCATTTGCATTGAGAAATATTTGACCTCTTTTTGAAATTCTCAATTTTAGTCTCCATGTCATGGAAACATAGATAGAAACCTACCATGTTTAATCTGGGCAGCTACTCATTATAATGACAAATATCTTAGAAGTCAATAAGTGTTTCCACACATTGTTCTGGATCCATGGCTTGGATTGGGAATGGTTAGTGGCTTGAGGGACATCATGCAATAGAAGGGATAGTGCCAGTATGTTGTGGCAAGGGTGTGTTAATTGTTTGGTTAGTGGCCTACATCCTAAGATAGATGTCCTAAAAGATACAGGTAAGTTTTCTAACACAGGTGGTCTCAGATTGTGTGTTCTATATAAGTAGAAGATGTTGAAAACATTATGATATAATATAGACTCACACTGGAAACCTGTTTGGGCAGGAAAAAGCAGCAGCATTACAGATGTAATTCTAGGTGTGACCACAGAAAAAATTATTACACTCACTCATCATACTTATGATCTCATGCATTGCTTTCCTTTTTCTCCGCCTCTCTTCCTCATCACTCCTCCACCCCAACGCCTCCTCCCATGCTGGATGTTAGACGCCTTCCTGTGAACTTATGTGGTACACTGCAAGGGAAAGTGTCAGTTCAACTTTTTTTTTTTTAAGTGTCTTTTAGGTTATCTTCATCCCAGGGATTTTTCCACTCTCCCATATAGTAAGAGATAAGAGTTTAGAAAATAATTGATAATAAGATAATTAGTTGTGAGTTTTCTTACTGTATTTTCTATTTGGGGGAGGAAATGAGCTGGGTGTTTTCTCTTTTTCCTTTTTATTTGAAGAATGAATTTGAATCCAGAAATATAGACTTTGATCTAGAATATGTAACTGTTCATTATGTTATAGGGAGATGTATAATAAAATTTCACACCACCTAAATTCCAAGTTCATTTAGAAGAATGAAGAAATAGTGAGAGGATAGAGTAGGAATTGGATAAATTCTCTAAAATGCAAGAAGTTCAGGCTTTTTGAAATGCCATAATCTTTGGAGGCTAGGCAATAGTGTACTTTATACCTATAAGGGTATTTTATGATTTAAGAACAATTTTCACATGTGTTTCTTCAATCTTGGTTTTATCAGGCAGGCATGAGATGGTGCTTGTTCCAGGACTGTCAATCCACAGCAAGAGGTTCTGTTGGATAAAGATATTGCCCCAATCAAACTATAGTCTATAGGTGGGAGAGCTGGACCTGGGTCTTAGGTCTTGCAATTCCTGTAAAAAATATCTGAGAAAACTAACTTATAAAGAGGAAAGCTTTATTTTGACTCAGGGTTCCAGTCCCTGATTAGGTGGACACATTGCTTTCAGGTTTCTGGTGGAGGTGCCTATAGCAATGTCAAGGAATTTGTGGTAGAGCAAAATTGTTTACCTCATGGCCAGGAAGTAAAAAAGAGAAAGAGGAAGAGACGGGGGTCTCACAGCTCCCTTCAAGATGTAATGTTAAAGTGTTATGTGTGTTTGCAGCTCCCAAATTTGGCAGGTCAGATCTAATAATTAATAAAGATACTCTCTTTATGCAAGATAGCATTTATTTTAGCAATAACATGAAAGGTAAGAGAGAAAGAGAAGAAAATATATCATCATATTGGGGAAACACCAACACTTGAAGTCATGTAGCTGGAGAAGCCCAGAGCAGTTGTACATAGCCCCAACTATAGTAATAGTTGGCCTGAAGTCTTATTCCAAGTGGGGCTTTTTAAATACAAGTTAGAATGAAGAAATCTCCTTTATAACAGCCTGCATGATCTAGTGATTCCCTCAAGGACACTTCATCTCCCCAAGGGCTGGCCAGATCCCAGAAGGGAAGGAGTGTTTGCCTTGAGATAAGTGAATGTCTCTGAGTTCCTCTGAGTGAGTCAAACTCATCAAGAAGTCTGCATTCTTTAGATTTGCATGGTAGGTACAAGAACCAGGAAGATCTCTTAATATTTTCATTAGCCCTTTATAAAGAGAATGCACCCAATGACCTAAAGACCTTCTACTTCGTCCCATCTCCTAATAGTACCACTCTGGAGACCAAGTCTTTAACAGAGGAGCCTTTGAGATACATTTAAGATTCAAATGATAGCACGGATCCAGGGAACGTTCTACAACATGATTTTTATTATTTATTTATTGTGGGGCTGGGTTTGAACCCAGAGCCTTGTTCATGCGACACAAGCACCCTACCAACTGAGCTATATCCTCAGCCCCACACAATATAAGTAAGACATTTGAGTCACCCTTCTATAATAAATAGTCTCTTTGACATTGGGCAAAGAATTTACCTTGTTTGAATCTTGGTTTCCTCCTAGAAAAAATGAGAATGAAGGTTTGTAGTAGGTTCAGTAATTCCAAGTTTCATGTTGTCTTAAACTATGACCCTAAGATCTAGTAAAGCATTGTGCTACCGGACATGAGAGCATCTCAAACCCTAATGTCTGGCACCACAGTTCTGTGGAAGTGGGCAACACAGCAAATATCACAACATCTGTTATAACTGTGATCTGGAATACCTCCCAAAGTCTCGTGTGTTGAAGGCTTGACCCCAGCTGTTGGGGCTGAGAGGTGGTGTAAGCTTTAGAAGGTAGGGCCTCGTTGAATTTGGGATCACTAAGGTGGACCTTTGAAGGGTGCACCTTGCCCTTGATCTCTCCCACTCCCCCCCCCGCTCCCTCTCTCTCTCTCTCTCTCTCTCTCTCTCTCTCTCTCTCTCTCTTCCTTTGTCCTCTCTTCCTCCCTTCTGGCACCTTTGCTCTGCCACACCTACCACAATGTTCTGCTTCACTACAGATTGAAACCCCTGAATCTGAGCCAAAATAAGCATTTCCTCCTTTAGGATGTGTTTTCTCCACAGTGATAGAAAGGTGACACAGCTTGCAGAGCTGTTCCTGCTCAGCAGCCTTTATCAGCAGTATTTTAAATCTAGGATTTCACTGTTGTAGTTATCCAAGTAATTCAGGCCAAAGACTTAGAAACAAAACAAACACAGTGCCCATTTTAAAGAGAAAGGGTATAAATTTGCCAAATAGATAAGAGATTCTTTAACTAGGGGGTTCAAAAGTGAATTGCTGTATAACAAATGACTTGAAGTATACATGAAAATCCCGAGGACTTATGCACATCATAATTGTTGCCACTCTCAAAAGGTGATTTATAAACTAGCTAATGGGTAAAAAAAAAAAAAGCAGAATACAGAAAATCACAAACTTATGGCGTTTATGACTCTAATTTTTTAACAGCATACCTAAGCCACAGAGAATACCCTTGCACATGTCAGGCAAATGTTCTACCATTGAACTATATCCTCAATCCCCTTTTTTTGTTCTTGAGACAGAATCTAAGTTGCCCAGGCTGGTTTCGAACTTGTTAACCTCTTGCCTCAGTCTCCTGAGAAGTTAGAATTTTGTGCATGTATTACTGTGCCCAGCAATATACCTAAGTTTTGATTATTCAATTGCTAGTTCAAAACAACCTAATAGTAATAACTTTTATTATGTTTTGTTATGTTGATGTTTTCCCCTTGTAAGCTTAGAGATTCTGCAATTCCCCTGTGAATAGAATAGCCTGGTTAGATTTGAATTTTGGAAAAGTAACAATAATTCTTTTTCTTTTTTAGCATGAATTATTTTTATCTATTACAAGGGACATGTAATGAAAATTGTTCATTACTCATCGAAGATCAAAACTAAACTATGTGCCCTGTACTTTTATTTGCTACATCTTAGAAGCATACCCATGGATTTGCTATGACTCTTTAGGGCATCTTGACACATAATTTGGAAACCATAGCCCTATAGCCCTAGGCCATTTTTTAATGTAAAACTGTATTTATTTTAAATTAATAAGTCATCCAGGAATTTTAAAAATGTTTTAAATATAATTAAAGTATCCAAATATTTTGTATTCAGTTTGAGTAGAGATGTTCAGATTATGAAAATGGGGTTTATACTAACTGATAATGGTCCAGTCTGTGTACATTGAGCATTGAGCATTGAGTCATAAATTGTGGTGTCCCCAATTCACCTGCTGTCACTTGAGCAAAACCTTACTGCCAGAGCAGAACTTTTTGTATCTTCCAAGGACTTCCAACAGCTGAAGCAAATGAAGTAAGATTTTTTTTTCAATTTTCCTGTCCAATTTTGTTGTAACATAGACAAAATTATAGTCATTTATTGGTAATGGAATTCCTTTAATTTGATAACAAATAATACTCATTATGAAGATCAGATCTGGAGGTATTCTTCATTATGTTGCTGATCTAACCATTAAACCATAATATTTTTCTTTTAGGAAGCTCAGTGGATATGCTGTATAGTTTTGCAAATTGCTCAGGACTGAACTTGATCTTTGGTCTAAATGCATTACTAAGAACAGCAGATTTGCGGTGGAATAGTTCTAATGCTCAGTTGCTCCTGAACTATTGCTCTTCCAAGAATTACAACATTTCTTGGGAACTAGGCAATGGTGAGTACCCCTGGAAACTTTTAATAAGGAGATTCCCCTTTGGCATTATTTGTTCCTATTTATGACATTCTTTTGAATATTAGCACATTCTTGCAGGTTTTCAACAATGCAACTTTTGGGAGCTGGGCACAATGATGCATGTCTATAATTCCAGCTATTTGAGAGGCTGAGGCAGGAGAATCACAAGTTTGAGGCCAGCCTGGGTAACTTAGTGAGATCCTGTCTCAAAATAAAAAATAAAAAGTACAAGAGATGTAGCTCAGTAGCTCGGTGTTAGTACACCACTGTGGTCAATTTCCAGTATGGGGGGTAGGGGTGGGCAATGCAACTTTTGAAGCTATATATGGGAGAAAAGTCTTATATATTCCAGAATACATTACTAGTCCCAGTTTATGCTATATTTGAGGTGAGGCAAACTATTAAAGCCAGCAACCTTCCCAGCTCCAGGTTCCCTTGAGATTTTCAGAGTCTATTAGACCTATTATGCTTGGCAGGCTGGACTCAGCAAAACTGAGAAGTAGGCCATTTGTTTTCACTCCCCCCGCCCCTCCTTTCTCTGTTTTTCCATTTGTCAGTTAATCTCAGCAACCCTGTCCCAATTTTCATTACTTGCTCAAGATGACTAAAAGTTGCCAGCATAAAATATTACCCATATCAAGCTCCTGAATGGCTCCTTCTTCACTCTTTTGCAAGGAACTTATAATTTTCAACTAAAGTGTTAATGATTAGTTCTATTTTTTTCAAAATATAGTACTTTTCTATGCATTACCCAATGAAACTGATTATAAAATGGAAAATGAAATGTAACATAGTGAGCACATGCTCCATGGTAGGCATTGTGCTAAGCATTTGATCTCTTCTCTCTGCCTCAAATTTTCCTCCTCCTCCTCTTCCTCTTTCTTCTTATTTAATACTGGATACACACTATTTTCCAAATATTCATTGGTTTAATATTATTAACTTCAAGTTGTTCAATACCCTCCTCATACTTCATTTATGCAATTAACATTTTATTTTTATGGAAAAAATCTTTTTTATAACTGTGATTTTACTTTTTTTCACTTTGAATTGTGTTTTTGCAATTTGGAAAATGTTTGTTGCATTTATATGCTGCTGTGTTTTTGCTTTTAAAGCAAATTCTAGCTTTTAAAGCTAGGAAAAATGTCTAGATAGGTGAATAGTTTGACAATTGCTGTCTTTCAGAACCTAACAGTTTCTGGAAGAAGTCTGGGATTTACATTGATGGATTCCAGTTAGGAGAAGATTTTATTGAGCTGCACAAACTTCTTAGAAATTCCACTTTCAAAAATGCAAAACTCTATGGTCCTGATGTGGGTCAGCCTCGAGGAAACACAGTTAAAATGCTAAGGAGGTAAGACCTAGAGAATGCAGAACCACTTTTCTTAACAATAGCCAGGTGTGGTGGCACATGTCTGTAATCCCCACAGCTCAGGAGGCTGAGGCAGGAGGATCACAAGTTCAAAGCCAGCCTCAGCAACTTAGTAAGGTCCTAAGCAACTTAGAGAGATCCTGTCTCAAAATAAAACATAAAAAAGGTTGGGGGTGTGGCTCAGTTTTTAAGGGCCCCTGGGTTCAATCCCTGATATCTCTCACTTCCCCACACAAAAAAATCTTCTGGGGATAATCCCCAACAGACCACCTGTTATTACACAATTTACTGCCTGCCCACATGGTTTATTAAAAGAGGAAATATTGGCTTAGAATACCAAGAATTCTGGCACCTATGAAAAAATTTGTTGTCAGAATTAGGTAGTTTTTGTGTTTGTCTGAATCTAACATCATAACAAGCCATTTCTAGGGAATAAAACCCCTATGTGAACATTGTACATCTATATGAGGAAGTGAGAGCATAATAGAATTTTTGTTCTAGTTTCCTGAAGGCTGGTGGAGAAGTGATTGATTCGGTTACGTGGCATCAGTAAGTATATCTTCTATTCTTAATACTAGGAAAATAATGCTACTTTTACTTACTGCCAGTTTTCAAAAAAATTATCTCCACTTAACTGCTAACTAGCTTTATAGTTCAGATAAGAAACAAATAGTATCTCAAGCAGTGTACTAGAATTTTAAGACGAATAAAACAAAAATGTAATGTTATTTTAAATAAGGTGGTATCTTTAAAGATCAAGGTATACTGTCAACTAACACATACAATATAAAAGTAGCTAAAACCAATTGCTTGCCAAAAACCAGGAAACCCAGAAGTACCTGTACTTGTGACTGTATCCTTTTAAGACAAAGGAACTGATTTCTAGTTTTTTGATAGACTGGTCTCTTCCTCTTGTTCCCTTTTCATCTTGGTCCTTCCTTTAAAGCATCTCTGCCTTTTAAAAAAATTTTTTTAACAATGGGGATGAGCAAGATAGGAAGGAGAACAAGGTTGGCAATTGACTTAGAGCAGAAGGTAAAGTTTGTTATTTTTCTTTGAATATTTTCTGAATAATTTAGCTACTATTTGAATGGACGCATTGCTACCGAAGAAGATTTTCTAAACCCTGATGTGCTGGACACTTTTATTTTATCCGTGCAAAAAATTTTCCAGGTAATAGTCTTTTTAAGTTTTTTATATAAAACCAGAGTTCTTCTTTTGTAGTCTAGTTAGTTCTAAATTTCATAGGTATATATATATTCACATGTTTTCTTTTCTAATTTTGGAGAATAAGCACTGTTTTATTCAGCCTTTGGTTTCTTCCCCAGCATTGGATCTTACTCATTTGTATTTATTAAAAATGAAAAATACTATAACTAAACAGAACAAATTTAAAAAACACTTCCAATAGTCTTAAGTATAATTAACTACCATAGACTATAATACTGAATATTTGTATTCCTTCCATACCCTAGTATTCCAATAAAAGAAAATTGTTTAAGACCTAAATGACCGTGAACTATTTTGTAACTGTGTAGGACAGATGGGTCTGGAAATACAAGGTTTTGGATGCTGTTAATCTTCAACACCACAGTTGGTCAGCTTGTCTGCAATTACCATGGAGACTCTCCTGTTCCCATAGGTGGTTAAGGAGACCAGGCCTAGCAAGAAGGTCTGGTTAGGAGAAACGAGCTCTGCGTATGGGGGCGGTGCACCCTTGCTGTCCAACACCTTTGCAGCTGGCTTTATGTGAGTGAAACTGCACTGGCCTCAGGGATCGGATTGCAGCCATTCTCCATCCTGCTAATGTCAGCCAAAACCAGAACAAAGACAGTTTTTGTGGATGAAGCACCAAAATTTGTGCCAGATGGTGCAAGAAAATCACTTGTTAAAGCTTGTTGGACCTCTTTAACAAATGTCCCAAATTAATCATTAAAAGAATGAATGGTTTTAGACATTATATTCCTTAATTGTGGCCTAGAAATATGTCACAGGAATCCTTCATGTAAAAAAACGCTCCCTGTAAAACAATGCATCAGGAGTGCTGGCTCTGAGAAGCACGCTTAGAGTATCTAGCTGTATTATAGATTCCCAAGTAGTTTAGAATCTAAAATATAAGGTCACAGCACAGGGCTACCAGTGAAGTTAAAGATTTACTGAATCACCTCATTAGCCAACACCAGAAACTTGATTGCTTTAAACCATGGTGTATTTACATTTAGTACGTTACTTCCTGAGTATGCTTATCTATAGTTCTGTGTCCTCATAGAGATTTTTTCTCTTTCCTCTCCTGTCCTACCTCTCCCCACCCACTTCTTTCTTCATGGTTCTAATCTTATGATATAATATAAGAGTAGAGAGAAGAACGGAGGCATTGGTTTTACCATTAATGAAAGACTTGGGTTGTAGATGGTGGGGGTACAGACAGGGTATGATAGGAGATGTCCTAAGAGTTTAATTGTGATTCTACTTATTCTCCATCTTTATCTCTGCTGGCTACAACCTTTTCTTCAGCCCTCTCACAGTGTGTATATAGGGGTCAGGCACAGGATGAGGAATTGTCTCTTGGGGTGGGAATTTGTCTACTCTGCTTTGTAGAAGTTGCCTTACCCTGAAAGGGACTCCTGGCAAGTTAGTGGCCTTCAAGGATGTGTCATCTTGCTGGTCTAGGGAGACGTGAGGGAGGATGTGCTGCTGCACACAGTTCATTTCATTGGAATGTCTTCTGTATAATTAATACCACTCATCTAAGTTCCCATTAATTCGTCCCAAATAGACAAACAATAAATCAGGATTGTGTGTAGTTAGAATTGAGGGATTTTGTTTTCAAACCTAAACAAAGCTGAATGTTTCTCTGCCCCAGGTGGCTGGATAAACTAGGCCTGTCAGCCCAGATGGGCATAGAAGTGGTGATGAGGCAGGTTCTCTTTGGAGCTGGAAACTACCACCTAGTAGATGAAAACTTCGAACCTTTGCCTGTAAGTGACCATTATTTTTCTACTTTTATGAGAAGATAAAAGTATGCTCAGAGCCCTTCTTAATTTGTTGAACAATACTAACCCCTTATATTTATAGACAGTCCTCACAATAAATAATCAAATCGTGGGATGATGAGTTGAAAGGAACCTAGTGTGACTAGAGAAGAAATCAGGAACCAGAATTAACTCTTTTTAATGCAGGCCATTTGAAGCATAGAGTAGATACACGTTTTTTTCCCCCTTCAGTACTAGGGATTGAATCCAGGGGTGCTCAACCACTGAGCCACAGCCCCAGTCCTTTTTATTTTTTATTTTGAGACAAGGCCTCACTAAATTGCAGAGACTGGCCTTGAACTTGTGATCCTCCTTCCTCAGCTTCCCAAGTTGCTGAGAGTATAGGCATGTACCACCACACCTGGCCAAGGATATGCTTTTTTTTTTTTTTTTTTTTAGTTGCAGAGGAACACAATACCTTTATTTTATTTATTTATTTTTATGTGGTACTGAGGATCAAACCCAGTACCCCATATATGCTAGGCAAGCATTCTTACCACTGAGCCACAACCACAGCCCCTGGATATGCTTTTTAAAAAGGGTCATTTCAAATTTTTATGACTCATCTCACAAGATAACAAACTTTTATCTAAAATTGTTTTGCAAGACTCTGGTTGTAGATCAGTAGTAGAGCGCTTGCCATGCATGTAAAAGACCACGGGTTCAAACCCCAGCACTGCCCTTCCCCGCACCCCCCCCGAAAAAAAAGTTTGTGAAACAAATCAAAGTTAAAATTTCTATAGTGCCCAAAGCTTCACAAAATTTTTATATCATGAAATCATGTTTTATTTAGCTTTAAAATGAGCCAGTACCATATATTTCTTTTAAAAAACTTACTCTAAGAATTGAATATTTGTTAATCAGCTTCAAGATATTTATGAATGAAGTCTCATTTTCATCCAATCTCTAACTGTATCTGTTGCCAAGTGAGGAAATATAGCTTTGTTTATCCAAAGTTCCACCTGTAAGATATATATATATATAAAATAAATATAGTGCTAATTTGTATAGATGTATATTTACCTAATTTATATACATACATATTATCCTAGTTTTTATTTATATACATCTTATACATCTGTTATCCTAATTTATATGTACATATTATATATGTACATATTTATATACATATAAATTAGGATAATAGAAATGTAACCCTGAGAAGTATGACTTTGATTTCTATCATCTAAAATGGATTTGAGGATTTCTGTTTTCTAAGAAAAATTCTTGAGGGAGTTATTTGAATAGTTCTATTTAATCAGTGTTTCACATTTTCCTTATTGTCTAAAATATTACTAATAGTTTATTATTCAAACCAGAATCCAAACAAGGTCTGCCTAATGCATTTGGTTGATATGTCTCTATGTTTGTTCAGCTTTAGTAATTCTCTTTCCTCTCTTTTGTCCATGTAATTTATCAATTAAAGAAACTAGGTGGGTTATTTTAACAGTGTTTCCCACATTCTGGATTTTAATAAATTTATTCCTGTCATATCATTTAGCATATTTGTTGCTCCCATTTCCTGTAAACTGTTAGCTATACCTAGAAACGTGAACTTATTCAAGCTCTGTTTTGAGGGAGCAAGAATTCCTCACAGATGATGTCGTGTTCTTCTGTCTGGAAGTACTTAATGTTTCTCTCTTCTTTTGATCTTGATAGATAATGATTATTGCTTAACCCATCATTTTATTAGGAGGGTTATCAGGTTTTAAAGGAAATTATTTTTGTCTTAGAAGTTTTATTTCAAAAAATCATCTTTGTGTATGTGTGTATTTGTGGATGTGTATGTCTTAAATTTCTGGTTTAAGCTGAGTGTGGTGGTACACACTGGTAATCCCAACAATTTGAGAGGCTGAAGCAGGAAGATTACAAGTTTGAGGCCAGTTTCAGTAACTTAGCTAGACCTTGTCTTGAAATAAAAAATTAAAAGTACTGAGGATATATGGTAAAGCACCCCTGAATTCAATCCCCAGTCTACCCCACTGTCCCGAAAAAAGTTCTGGTTTGAGCTTTATCTTGAATTCTTGGATGAAAAACAACCAAGAATATTTAAACTTCCTGAGCAATTGATTGCATTCTTGAAATATGTCTTCCTGTGGCTCTGACTCTCTGAATTTTGGAAGTCCTCTAGAGACACAAAGCTGCAAATAATATATTTCCCTCAGATTCAAGGTGATCATATAGAAGGAAGGGGAGGATCACATGAGAGGAAGGGAGGAAAGAAATAATCCTACTTACATCTATGCAGGATAACAGTCCTACTCTTTGTAAGATAGCTATTTGCTTGCCACTAGTTTTGTTAATAAAATAAGTAAAGTTCTATTTTTGTCCCTGCCCTCCCTAACCACCACAACTAGGATTATTGGCTGTCTCTCCTGTTCAAAAAATTGGTTGGCACCAGTGTGTTCATGGCAAGTGTGAAAGGCCCAGACAGAAGTAAAGTTCGAGTGTACCTTCACTGCACAAACGCCAACCAGTAAGTGTGAAGCATGCTGTTAGCCAACCTACAAGATTTAATCCATAAGCACATAACATCCTATACTAACACCCTGTTGCTATCTGTCTACACAGAGGGTCTAAGCTGTGTCACTGGTCCTTTTCATTCTTTGTTTTTTTTTACATTCATGGTGATATGATATCAGAATCTAACTTCAAAAAATTGCTTAAATGTAGGCATTTACAGTCAATAAAAATTTAGATAATGATTTTAATTGTCATAATCTATAATGGAAATATACCAAGTTTTAATATATAAAGATAGTAAAAATATAAGAAAATATAAATACTTTTGTGTAAGCATTAATTCATTAAAGGAGTATGAGTATAAATATAAGTGAGAATGAATATGAATAAACAATTTTAATGTATTTATCTCCTATCATACCTAAGAAACACAAAGGAAGAAGAAGAAAAATAATCAAAAGAAAGGGAGCAATAAAAATAACAATCTTAATTTCAAAAGTTGCCACCATAGTTTCTAGAGTTGAGAGGCCCTAGAGAGACTTTTATAGTCCTACAGTGTGGCTTCAGGTAGCAAACAATATTCCTAAATCCCAGGGATTTTCTCTTCTCAGTTTCAATCTATCATCCTGATAGAAAGGTACTTTAATACTAATTCTAGCAAAAAAATCCACCTGCCATTTCTATTTTCTGTGACTGGAAATACTATGGAGGGTAGAGACCCCACTAGGAAGTAGTAAGGGAATGGTTTGAATGGATGAATTCTGAAATGAGTCCATGTTTCCTGTTTATTTCATTCTTTTCTTAGAGATAGGAAGAGATGCTATTTATATAGTTTGTAATTTGAATTCATATGAACTCATGAAATTTACTTTTTTTTTATCATTTAGCCTTCTTATACTTAAAAATGGGTGGTCTATCTGGCTTTCTAACAACTTAGTCTGACAAATTAGTAAAGATTTTAGAGGTCTGGCTCCAAAAATTGTAGTATAAAGAGCAATATTTTTTCTGTTTTTGTTCTGTCCGAGGGACCAAACCCAATGCCTCACACATGCTACTCCCCCAGCTCCCAAGAGCAATATTTTTAATTATGTTTTCAGAATAGGACCACATGTGTAGTCTAATATTATAAAAAGAAGATGCTAATAGTCCCATCATCATTATGGATGCTGATACTTAGTATCCATGATCATATTTGTAATCAAGTTCTTAATTGCTTAAATTAGATAAATATTTTTATTAAATTAACCTATTTGCTTTTTAGCCCAAGGTATAAAGAAGGAGATTTAACTCTGTATGCCTTAAACCTCTATAACGTCACCAAGCGCTTGCAGTTACCATATAACTTATTTAACAAACAAGTGGATAAGTACCTTGTAAAACCTTCAGGACCTGATGGATTACTTTCCAAGTGAGTGATTTTCCTTGTTCATTTCACACTTTTAATGAACTTGATGGTGTTTATCAGAATAGAGAGTTTTGGGAGGGGGCAAAAAAATAAAAAGTCAACTATTTCAAATTCTAACTGTCCTTAATATTCAGGAATACTTATGAATACAAGCATAACTTACTCAGAGAGTCCAAAGTGAAAGATTTGAACACAAACCAGCAGTTATCTTAGAGGATAGTTTGTATTTCAGAATAACTTGATAATCATAGTCAACTCAATGCATTTAGATTATTTCCTCTGAAATGACATAATTCTTGGTAACACAGTCTCTAAAGCAAAACATACCTATATATAATTGTTATTAAGTATGTGTGGGTTGCTACAAAATATCATACCATTCCATGTGAGCTGGGTGTGATTCTCTTACAGCATTAAAATAATTTTTTGTTGGTTAGAGAAAGACAAAATGGCTAGAAATGTATTGCTAGTCAGATTATTTGAAGTTGGTTTTAAAACCCAATCACTGAATACATTTTATAAAAGCACATATACAATAGAGTACCAAAGAATGGCTGAGTCTTGCAGAGCTGGGTATACAAACATTTTAAGATTCTGTCTTGTATGTGTTGGAAGGATCTCTTTTCATAGTGACTATTCTCATAGTGGAGAATAAAAAAAATGAACAGTTTGTAATATTACCATCATCTCCCATCTTCACAAATGCTATCTGTGTGATGTTTTCAGTGAGTATTAGCAATGGAACATGAGAAAGTACAGTAAGCCTGCTTTCTCCAAAGTCCTATCCTTCACAAACAAGCAGTATTTACATTGGGTACCATGCATTCCATTATTTTCCCCAGTGCTTTTTAAAATATAT